ACACACACACACACAGTCACACACACATATATACACATATACACCCACACACACGCACACAAACAAAAACACACACACACACAGTCACACGCACACACACACACCGCCCCTCCCCCTGGACAGAGAGCTGTTTTCTGAGCAGTGAAGTCAACCAGTGTTCAGTTTGGTCATGTCTGGACTGCTGGGTGTTCGACTGCTGCTGTTGTGGGGCTGCCTCTGGCCGTCCAGCCTGACCCAGGGGGCTCTGGTCATCTCTGGAGACCATGAAGCGACACAGGTGACCTCACACACACACACACACACACACACACACACACACACACACACACACACACACACACACCTTCTTTTACTATGACTTTAATTTGAAGTCACATTTATGTTGGAAGTTAAAATTTTTTATCAGTATAGCTCCTGATTGAGCCAGGTCCGACTTCCTCTCAAATACTTTGACTCAAGCTTTGCTCTACCAGAGTTTGCATTTTTAAACCTGTTTAGATTTATTATCACTGTCTCCCATGAGCTATCTCTGCTCTTTATTTGTACATGTGAGACACATGTTTTTTAACAAAATGTGTTTTTTTGTTCAATAATTGAGCTTTATTTGTATTTCAGGAGATGGGAGGGGCTGCCAGATCACTGCAGGTATTTGTTAGACAGTCAGTTACACGCTATGTCATGTGTATTAAGTTTTTTCCCTTGATAAACAATATTAAAACAGTGTTTGGAACATCATAATTGCATGAAAAGTTAACATAAATCAACTTTTTTTAAAGAGGTACAGTTAACAGAAAATGCATGTGGGGCATAAAGCAGCAGTCTTAGTTGAAATTGACAGTTTTATTTGATTTTAAATTTAGATTTTTTCAAATCTGAAAAGAAAATGATTTCCTTTTTGGGTTTTTTCTTAACAGAAAAGAAGTACAAGTGAAGCCACGGTAAGAAAATAATGTTTTTCTTTAATAATGTGAGGGGATCATCTTAGATCATCTTACCTGCCAGATCGACAGAAACACACAATAGGAAGGAGAAGAATAATTTAAATACCATTAGTAGCCAGATTGTCAACTGAAAAAGCTTTTTGTTTGAAGCTAGTTGCTTGAGGCTTAACAAATTAAATTAAGACTGTAGAGTAACAGGTAGGTAGAGCAACTTCCTGAAGAAAGCAATGAGAATACACACAGGATGCAGGTAGGTTCTAAAAGAGATTGGATAAAAATGAACTGGGAATAACTGAACTGACTTTTTTTTCCATATATCCATATGTCCCTGCTGAACTGCCTCATCCGAACACTCCCAAAGTGGAACCAGTGACATCATGTCTTCTGTCTTTTAAGATACTTTTTTTGGCACCAGTCAGGGCAAGTCAGCATGGGCTGGACCCCGCTGTGAAAAAAGCAGGGGCAAACTGTTTCAAGTAATTATAAAAGTGAAAATATCTGATATTACAGTAATTCACTGGACAGAAAGCCTAAATACAAGTGCAGTGCCCATTTAAACATGTCTGTTTGGTATGGGCTGGACATTGTGTGCAGAGCTTTTAATGAACAGTCTATGCTGAAGATTCTATAGTTGATGTTTTTCATCAAATCTAACTGCATTTTCTTTTTTTACTGTTCATGTGCGTGATGTTCTAAATCAAAGTTTCGTAATTCTGCTTGATATAAAGCATTGCAGCAACAAAACAATCATTGCGCTTGTTCGTTTTTAGACAAATTGTTAAAGAGAATGTGGAATATATGGATGTTGTTGCCATGACGGAGATCAGCAGGTCCATCTGTCTCACTCCAATATGGTGAAAGATAAATAACAAGTCATCGGTTTGACACCGTTTCTGATCACTGCTGTAGTTTATCCAAGGATGCAAAAGAAGAAATGTTCAACTTGGTCCACAGACTGAAGGCACACTGCCCCACCCCCACTGACTACTACTGAGCGCTGGTTGCCTGTTGATTCCATATTTATTAATATTGAACCCTGAACACAAGCTTCTCATTTTCATGAGTTTCTGTCTTTCCATCTCATCCTTTCTTTCTGCCTCAGGTGGAGGTGTACAGTGTCACCGTGGACTGCACAGTGTTGTCTCGTTTCGCCCACACGGTCATGACCTCCAAGGCTCTGAACAAAGCAAACTCCTCGCAGGAAATCTTCTTTGAGGTGGAGCTGCCCAAGACGGCCTTCATCACCAACTTCAGCATGTCAGTCCTTGCACACTCTTATTTCCAATCTCTTCACACTCCAGCATATATTACCTGTCTGTTTATGACACCATCATTCTCCCTGTTTACTTTTACAGTTGTGCTCCAAAGCATATTTTTATTAGAATGATCCAGTTTATTTACTTTCCTTAAGTTGCATCATGCTGCTCTCCATCTCTGCGTCTCTTCAAAAGGGAGATCGAAGGTCAGGTGTATGTCGGGCAGGTGAAGGAGAAAGAGAAAGCCAAGAAACAGTATGAGAAGGCTGTTTCCTCTGGACAGACTGCTGGACTGGTCAAGTGAGTCAGTCAAGGTTGAATATGCATAAACCCAGTATTACAAACACAAAATACACATTCAAAGCAACATCTGCAGCTGTCACTTACAACTGTGTTTTATTTCAGGGCCTCTGGGAGAAAGATGGAGAAGTTTTCAGTGTCTGTCAACATCGCAGCCAATAATAATGTGACCTTCACTCTGACCTATGAGGAGCTCCTTCAGAGGAAAATGAGCCAGTATGAGATTTTAACACGAATTAAACCCAAGACCGTGGTCCAGGACTTTCAGGTGCATCTATGCTCATGATTCTATTTCCACCTGATTTAATTGATCCTAAATGAAAGTTTGTCTCACAAATGATGTTGTGTCTGTTTGTGTGAGGAGACAGATTGTGACAAATATCTACGAGCCTCAGGGTATTACGTTTGTTGATGCCCATGCAACCTTCCTTTCCAATGACTTGCTCCCCCTGGTGGACAAAACGGTCACAGACAAAAAGGTGTGTGATACAGTAGCCCTCCAAAATTCAAAATGATTCAGGTTTCACTTCCTTTTCTTCAATGCACCAGCATTTCTGGCCTGAGAATAATAAAGAACAAGCTGAGCTCAGTGTGTTTATCCCTTTATCAGGCACACATCTCATTCTCACCAACTGTGGAGCAGCAGAGAAAATGTCCAGGTTGTGATGGAACACTCATCGATGGAGATTTTGTCATCAAATATGATGTAAACAGACCAAAGGGCATCGGGGACATTAAGGTCAGCTGTCACTAAACTCAGTATCTGCTGCACACATTTAAAAAATATTGATGAATCTGTGATTAATTTGTGTCATTCGTTCATGTAAATCATGATCATCTTCCCTTCAGATTGTGAATGGATACTTTGTGCACTTCTTCTCTCCACCTGACCTGACCAGACTCCAAAAGAATGTAGTGTTTGTGATCGACAGGAGCGGATCAATGAGTGGGAGAAAGATTGCTCAAGTGAGAGTATATATTTATATTTTAATGTAGTTCAGATGTATTGACGTGCACATGCACACAGTGTGACCTCTGATCTTGTAATCCTTTGTAGACACGAGAGGCAATGCTTGAAATCCTCAAAGACCTTCACGAGGACGACCACTTTGCTTTGGTACAGTTTGATGACAGTATGCATACCTGGAGGGACTCACTTAGCAAAGCAACAAAGGAAAATATTGAAGCCGGCATGGGCTACGTGAGGAGAATAAGAGAATCTGGCAGTTAAGAGAATAACAAGTGGCACTTTGATCTCTTTGATCGTCTTTATTTCTACAATGATAGAAATGTATCCTGATACGAGACACTTGACTGTTTGTGTTTTCCTTCTAGTGACTGATATCAATGGAGCAGTGTTGAGAGCTGTGAACATGCTGGTCAAAGACAGGAGAGAGAAGAGGCTCTCTGAAAGGAGTAGTGATATGATTATTTTACTGACTGATGGAATGCCAAATTCTGGTGAGCATGTTGGGTGTGCACATACTGTTGGATATATTTGTGTGATTGCACTTTTGATCAATTTTCTTAAGGTTTAGCATTAAATCTGTGCATGTTGTATCTCTGGCTTTGAAGGAGAAACAAATCTCGAGCAGATCCAAAAGAATATGCTTTCTGCCATCGGAGGAAAAATGTCATTGTTCTGTCTTGGGTTTGGCGATGATGTGGATTATTCCTTCCTGGATGTGATGGGCAAACAAAACAAAGGAATGGCCCGCAGAATATATGAAGCTTCAGATGCAGCCGTTCAACTCCAGGTGGAGGAATCAGACTATGAATACAATTCTGAGCAAATATTTTTTTGTGATTTTGAATTTAAACTGGAATGGCTCACCCCTTGAATTCCACATCACCGTCATGTTCGTTCAGACACAGTCCTAAAAGTATTGAAGATATATTTAAACTGCTGCTGATAACCAACATTACCTTAGCTACATATTGATGGTTGTTACAGGTTTGTTGCCCTATTTGTTACTGTACAGAAAAAAATCCAAAGTTCAAGTTTTATTGTCAACACAAGGTCAATGGAATAATGAAAAGTGTTGGACAAGAGGAGAGGTTAGCTCAGAAGTCAGGGCAATGTTATAAACGAAATATAAAGTACAGTTTAAAGTAAGAAAAGAAACTGAAATTTTTTTTGGGGGGAATAAAATCTATTTAAATACCAATGCATAAGAATATATGAGATAGAGCTCTACATAAGACAAATAATAAAACGTAATACAATACTGTATATACATAGTGTGTATGTATGTATGTATGTATATATATATACAGATTACGCAGTTTACAAACCATATATAAAGTTCCCACAATATGCTTGAGTTTTTTTTCATCAAGATCCTCAGTTATTCAGGGAATCGGTCAAAATGTCTCGCAATGTTAAAAAAAGTAAAACAAAAAATTCTGTATTAACCCCTCGGACATGTCAAAACTTTAATGGGTACTTCTTTCATCATCCCTCCATCAAGTTTCATGAAACTGCCTTCTGTAGGTTTTATGTAATCTTGCTAATGAACGAACAAAGAAACAAATAAACAAATAAACAGAAGCAAATACATAAGCTCCTTGGCAGATTATAATACAATAAAAAATAATAACAGCAGTTTAATTAGCACATTTTGTACAAATACATCTAAAACAATGTGTGTTTGCAACAATTTCAGGGTTTCTACGATGAAGTTTCAAGCCCTCTGCTCATGGAGGTGGACCTGCGTTATCCTGACAATGCAGTAGACCTTTTGACGACCAACCACTTCAGCCAGCTGTTTAATGGCTCAGAGATTGTGGTGGCTGGTCGGCTGACAGACAACAACCTGGACAACTTCATGGTGGAGGTTTTCGGCGAGGGGGTGAGGAGAGGGAAATGGCTGAAATTTGGAGACAATTAGATGAAAAGGAAACTTGTTGATTATTTCTCTAATCACTTGCATTTCTTCCTGTTTCGTCTTCCCTGTAGCTTGAGAGAAACTACGAAGCGCAGGGCCAGGCCAGTGCTCAGAACTGGAATGTTGTTTATCCAGATGAGGAGTACATCTTTGGGGATTTCACAGAGCGCCTGTGGGCCTATCTGACCATCCAGCAATTACTGGACAAGAGGTTAGTTTGAGTCATTTTAGTTGATCTGAGTTGCTCTAGCTTGAAAATCATTTCCATTGATCTAATTAGCACAGAGCCTGTTCTCAACATATCTGTTTGGAATGGGCTATTTGTCCTGGGGTAATTTTTCAGAGCAGCAACACTTCTACAATAAACTGTCACTCTCATTGTATTCAACTCAAGATCACAATTTGTCAAAATAAAACTCAGTACAAAGCATTACAGCAACAAAACAAATGTGCTTTTAAGACAAATTGCTAAAAAGGAAATAATTCTATGAATGTTATTGCCTTGATGGAGATCAGACCCTGTGTATGTCTGTATTTGTCTGATTTGGTGAAATGGTAATAATCAATTTATCTAAAAATTCCATTTTCTGTCAGCCCTTAAATAAGCTTGTAATATTCATATATAGATTATTTTATAGTTTTCTGAATGCCAGTGTCATTTTGTCAACATTGTTTTTTTCTTCCTGCAGCAAAACTGGAACACCAGAGGAGAAAGTCAATGCTACAGCAAGGGCATTGGACTTGTCTCTACAATACAGCTTTGTCACTCCTCTCACTTCCATGGTTGTCACCAAGCCTGAAACCGAGGACGGAACTGAGAGCCCTCTCATTGCTGACAAGCTGACTGAGGGTAAAGGGAAAAGGAAAGGCTTTAAAGAGTGATGCAGACCAAAATTTACTGTAATACGTTCACTGGCATCACTGGCCATTGAATTCATATTTTTTTTAACATGTTATTCATTTAACTAACCAGTAAAGGCTATGGTGCTCCAGCTTGAACTGTAGAAGGTATTAATTAGTTGTTGTTTTTTGACAGAGCAAAGACAACAGGCAGACAGAAATGGTAAGACAGTAAAGTTTTTTTGTCTTGTAGCCAAAAGAAAAAAGATGTATATGTTTAAATAATTTCACTGTATTCTTTTAACTTTTTTTTATTATTCCTCTATCTAGTACTTCGCTATCCAAGCTCTCATTACCACATGTCCCCTGCTCCTACATATTTTGGTAAGCCATGGGCCTCGGTTTTGGTATTTTGGTCATTTTCATCAACCTGGATGTCTGTGGCACCATCGGTCAGTTGCTCAGTCAGTCCTTCAAGACATTGATGACTTTTGGATCCTCTTTTCAATTAGTGCCACAGGCAGGTTAAAATCTTCTGACAATGAATCCGACTTTATCCTCTAATGGTAAACATTTAATGCTAAAGGTTAACATTTTAGCATCGCTATTGTGAGCATAGCCTGCTGCTGGTATTAGCATTTAGCTCAAAGCACAGCTTTCTCTTCAGTACTGCCTCACAGCATGACTGTTTGACATCATCACTATATTAAACCAATCCTGTTTGCGTTAAATGAATGAAATCATAATCATTACTGTAATTGTACTCTGGTATCACTTGCAGTGGATGGAGATCCTCATTTCATGATAGAGCTGCCAGACAGAGATGACGCTCTGTGCTTTAACATCAATGACAAACCAGGAACCATTTTCACACTGGTTAGAGACCCAGAGTCAGGTCAGCCCAAGACCAGTATTGAATACAATGCAAATCTTTTCTCATTCAATCATATGCTGTAGTGAGTGACTGAATTGTTTCTTCAGGTATTTTGGTCAATGGCCAGACAATTGGGGACAAGAAAATGCCCCCCGATGGTAAAATGAACACCTATTTCTGGCGGTTTGGCATCATCCACCACACTCTGGGGGTGAGGCTGGAGGTCAGCACTCATGAGATCTCAGTGTTCCAGGATGGCAAATGGGTGAAGCTGCTGTGGTCTGACACAGGCTCTCTCAAAGGACCCAAGTGAGTGGCTGCACCATCGCATGCTTAGCCCAAAGAACCATCGCTCTACATGGGTAATATGAGATGTGAAGTCCAAGCTCAGAATGAACTCCTCTTCTTTCTCTTCCAGCGTGGATCTTCTTGTGACGAAGGATCGCAGCCTAACAGTAACTCTAAAAGATTCAGTGAAGTTTGTGATCCTACTGCACAAAGTGTGGGAGAAGCATCCGTACCATCAGGACTACTTGGGTTTCTACACCCTGGACAGTCATCTCCTCTCCCCTGCTGTTCACGGCCTGCTAGGTACAATGTGGCGCTCATATGCTACATCCATAATGCTACACTTTCATTAAAATGCATCAACTCTGCTTCGGATACACCTGCCATTCACACGAATATCAGAGATATTGAAACAGAGACGTTTGGAAACGCTGCTGGCCATGTTTTAGTATGGACACTCACAAATGTTTGCTGATTGGGTCTTTTCAATCATGATGTAGCCTTCACTGATTTGTCAGGCACGAATCACATGATTCCCTTCAACAACTGGCATGAGCCTCAGCTGTAGAAAGCAACGTGGATGATCAATTGCAAACGTAATTAGGCCAAGATGCTTATGTGGTCAGGGATCCTTTTAGTTTCAAGCGAAAACGTAGTATGGATGAGGCCTTACTAGGAATTAGACTGCATGGTTTAATGTTTATAGCAGTATTTAGTAATTCCAAAATTTACAGCGGTGTCTCTTTATAGCAGACAAAATGAATAACATAATTGAAATTAATATTAAAAAATATTACCTGTAAATGTCTGCTTGTCCTCCAGGTCAGTTCTACCACGGGATTGAATATGAGGTGAGTGACCTGCGTCCAGGAGAAGTCCCAGAGAAACCAGACGCCACCATGTTCGTGAAGGGACAGGAGCTCAACGTGACCAGGTACATGTCTAAGATAAGCGTCCCACCTCAGCCTGGCAGAGTTTGAATGCAATGTGTGTCCAAAAATTAATAACTGGCCCTTGCTTTGTAAATATCGCTTGGTCTACATGACGATTCTGCCTTGGTCCACAGAGGCTGGCAGAGAGACTTCAGGAGCAATGTGAAGGATGGAGAAAATGTTCCCTGCTGGTTCATTCACACAAACGGAACAGGCCTCATCGACGGAGATGCAACAGACTACATCGTGTCAGGACTTTTCAAAACCGCTTAAATGCAGGTCACACATCAGTGTCAAACACAGAACCAATCACAGTGATAAAATAAATATGAAAATAGCAGAACCTGCACAGTCATATACTCAAAGACAAACAGGTGTTATGAGTTTGATCTTCTACAACTATAAGAATGGAAAGTAAGAGAATCCCAAAACTGTAACAAGCACTGGGAGACAGGCTCATTTGTAAAGGAATACATGGAATGTTCTATATGTTCTTCATCATGCTCTAAAACATGGACTAAAGCTACATTTCCATTGATTAATCTTCTGTTTTAAAGTAATGGGATCTAATCTGTTTCCATGCAGGGAAACTTTGATGAAAAGGTTAAGTACAGTTCATGTAAAGTCCACCAAACAACATTGTACTTAATAAATCTTTTCTCTGTGGTGACTAATTGAAATGTTTCTTCGTGGTTTAACATTCAATAAAAAAAAAATCCTATCCAAATGAATTTGATTATTGTTTGGCTAAGGGAACTTTTCCCACCTAACCACAATATTGTGCGTGAAGTAAATGCATGTACACCAATGGGCAAGTTGGGACTGGCTAAGCATAACACAAAAACATACACACACATGCACGTCATTTATGAGAAACTACGCACGCCTATTCACATAAACATGCTGCAAACAAGAGTTTTGGACACGGAGGGTCCCTCCTCCTGCACAGTGTGGGCGGAGTACAACTCTTACTGGAAGGCTTGATCCCCACATGCCTCGGATTCCTTCCACACTTGTTCTCAGCCATGCTGGGGGAGAGGCACTTCTGTTTCCCAGGCATGACTGTGTTGTGGAGAGTGCTGCTGCTGTGGGTTTGCGTCTGCATCTGCCTTCCAGCTAAGGCCCAGGGAGCTCTGCTTGTTTCCAGGAGCGATGCTCTGACACAGGTATTTACAAAAGTGATGTGTGCAGCAACTGCTTATATACAAATGTCTGATTTGTTATTTTCTACTTCAGATGATTTTTTGGCGATGAGTATAGCGCTGTTTATGAAAGCATGTATTTGTAGCTGTAAGAGCTACAACTTTCCCAAACAGAATCCTCTGGCATGCAGGAAGCAATTTGCTTAGCTGTGCTTGCAGCCTTTTGTTTGCAGCAGAAAGTAACAAATGGAAGATCTGTGCAGCAGGCATAATTACCAAGGCCATGCAGAAAATCAGAGGAGTGCCACAGAAAATCAAATAAAAAAGATGCTAAAGCAGCAGTGACCCAGTCATCTGCAGGAACATGAGAGAATTGATAGCCTAAAAAAGCATTTGAAAAGAGTTAAAAATCTGTGATGTGGGAGGCATTTTAAGCCAATTATCTATGCAGAAAATGCTGTTTGCAGGTGATTTGACTTTCTACCTGTAGGGACAATGAAGCTTCATGAAAATCCTCATCAGACTAAAACAACAGTTTGATAGATTGATGTGCTGTTCTTGAGTTTGTCGCTGTCAATGTCAAGCATCTGGTCCTAGATCCATGTTGAATCTTTACTGCAAGATTCAAGAAGTTTAAGCATCAGAATAGTGACCATTCGAATGATGTGCAGTTTGAATATTTTCCCTCCAATACTTTATTGGCCTCAATTTAAATATATAAAGGCTTGTGTGCATTAACAGTGATCTTCTAGTTGAATGTCACCACCTGTGAGATCTGGTACAATTTGATCACAATCTGGACAAGAGTGTAGGTTTGAGCTCTTTGTCAGATGGCCAAAATGATATACACACCTTTTCCATGCCTTTCCTTTATATTTTCATAAATGCGTGCACACATTTGTATAACATCTAGTTAAATAGTAAAATTTGCTGCAGATAGAATTTTCATAGAAAACCAAGACAAAAAGTATATATAAAGTGATATCACACTCCTGCATGGATTGACTGAAGACATCTCTGTTCATGCTTTTAAAGGTCCAGTGTGTAGAAGTAAGGGGAACTGTCAGCAGTAATGCTAAATGTGTTTTCATCACTGTATAACCTGTATAATGTGAAAATACAAATTGTTGTGTTCTTGTTGCCTCAGAAGGAGTCATCTATATCTACATCAGAGAGGAAGAATATAACATATTTCTACATGACTGGACAAACCAAACACTGGTTTTAGAGACAACCTTTCATGTTTTAACATTATCTGAAGGCCTTTAGGTTTTCCTCAACACTGTTAAGAGGAGGTTGTAGGAGGGATACTCAGTTGGCTGCAGTATGCACCTTCACCAATAGATGCCACTAAAACTGACACACTGAACCTTATAAAGCAGATGACCTGTGATGGTAAACGTGACCCCTACATTCACATATATTCGTCTGTCAACATGGTCGCCCTTCAGCACAACAGCCTTTCTTCAGTGACCTTATCTGTGCATCAGAGCAAGCGGGTGTTGCACCTCGTTCGCCCACCTCCACAGAACACATTAAGTATGCCACATGTAAAAGCTCTAGAAATCTAGTGCATCATACTCCCAGCTGAAAAAGGGCACAAAGGGGCCGTCACGGCCAAAAGGTTGAACTGAACTAAATTGTGTGGAGCACAGATTTTAGTCATCTTCCCTTTCTGCAGGTCTGTCTTTGTGTGTGTGACCTTAACACCCAAGGTTCTTTTCCCACACTTGTTTAACGTCATCTGTCTGATTCTTGCTTCTCGGCATGTTGCAACAAAGCTTCCTTAATATTCTGGATGAACCCGTTTATTTGACATTCAGCTGACATTTTGGGAAACACATAGGAAATGACTGTTCGACTGAAGAAATGTTGAATGTTTGACACATTTGCATTTTTCATGTCAGGCTGCCACCAATGGTTAACTATAAGGTAAATGTCTATAGTGACGTCTAATTTGGTGCACATCAAAGTAACTCTATGCTCTGTTCCAGGAGACCCAGGAAACTATGGAAACCAGGTCAATAAAGGTATTAAATTTAAATACTTACAACAGTTTAAAATACCATTTTACTAATGTTTCTTTCTGTGTTTCTTTTTTTCTTTCTTTCTATTCATGCCTTTCTGCAAAACTCAAAGCGTGCAATGTTAATTAAGAAATTCAATTTGTCTTTTTTTTCTCTATAGAGAAGAAGCACAAACTCTGCAAACGTAAGGAACTCATTTTTATATTGACGTAAAATCGGGACGGGGGTCTGACTAACAACAAAGCTTTTACATTTGTTCATGTATCATATTCAAATCTGAATATGATAATTGAATAAACATGAGACCAAGATGACTGGTAGCTTCTCTCACAGTAGTGGTATTGTTTAGTATTGTAACCAGTTGCGAAATGAAGTCCACATTTCCCATAAACCACATTAGTTCCAGATGCCACTTGTTCCGCTCTCCCCTCCCCTGTGTCCATTGGCATGCTTTTATTTCCTCTATGCTTCACGTGACAATAAAAAGGCTGGAAGAGATTTCTCCATCTGTATTTTATTCCCATCTGCATCACAAGTAATTGTCAGTTCCTGCTTCATGACGTGAAACATTTCTATTAGGGACAAATTAGGTAAGATAACTAGTCTTGCCTATTTGCTGTAATCATAGTGTTTATGATTTACTGATGCTGACGCCTTGCAAAAAAACATTTTGCTTGACAACCATGCCAAAATTACACCTCCCTTCATCCTCTCAGATGGTGGAGGTGTACAGTGTCACCGTGGACTGCACGGTGACGTCTCGTTTCGCCCACACGGTCATGACCTCCAAGGCTCTGAACAAAGCAAACTCCTCGCAGGAAATCTTCTTTGAGGTGGAGCTGCCCAAGACGGCCTTCATCACCAACTTCAGCATGTCAGTTCAAACCTCAGGACTTTAAACATGAGCTACAAGTTTCTCTGGGTTTGACACGTTTCATTTTGTCTTTTAGGGAGATCGAAGGTCAGGTGTATGTCGGGCAGGTGAAGGAGAAAGAGAAAGCCAAGAAACAGTATGAGAAGGCTGTGTCCTCTGGGCAGACTGCTGGACTGGTCAAGTGAGTCAGTCAGAGTTGAATATGCATAAACCCAGTATTAAAAACACATTGTAACATCAGAAGATGTGAATTATGTGCACTGTGTTTTATTTCAGGGCCTCTGGGAGAAAGATGGAGGTGTTTTCAGTGTCTGTCAACATCGCAGCCAATAATGACGTGGTTTTTATTCTGACCTATGAGGAGCTCCTTCAGAGGAAACTGGGCCAGTACGAGATTGTGACACGAGTTAAACCGAAACATCCAGTGCAGGACTTTCAGGTTCTACTTTCTATCCTATCTTTCTAATTAACAAAATATGGCAAAAGAGAAGCTGCTTCATTTGTAAGCGCATTAATGATACTTATATGCCACTCTTGATCTGTGTGTGTGTGTGTGTGTGTGTGGAGACAGATTGTAGCAAACATCTACGAGCCTCAGGGCCTCACTTTTGTTCACGCTTCAGCAACTTTCCTCACCAATGACCTGCTTTCCTTGGTGGAGAAAACAGTTATGGACACAAAGGTAAAGGATTACAAATATTTCCACACTTCCGTTCTTCTAAAAACATTTTATGATCTTTTAAGTACAATTTTAAGTAAAGATGAGTACAATAATGTCAGTTGAATCTCTCTGTATCTCAGGCACACATATCTTTCTCGCCAACACTGGAGCAGCAGAGAGTGTGTCCAGAATGTGAGGGGAACATAATCGATGGAGATTTCCTCATCAACTATGATGTGAAAAGAGATGAGGGCCTGGGAGAAGTTCAGGTCAGCTCCCAAAAAAAGTATTTAGAACAGCACATGAGAATCACACATGAGTGTTGATTAAATTCTTCACTGCCCTACAGATTGTGAATGGATACTTTGTGCACTTCTTTGCTCCCCCTGACCTGCAAAGAGTCCCAAAGAATGTGGTGTTTGTGATCGACAGGAGTGGATCAATGAGTGGAAGAAAGATGGCCCAGGTGTGTGTGTGGGAGGGGGTAGGCAAGCTCCATACTGCAGGCATCAATCTATGTTCCTCTTCATGTGTTAAACTGTGAACCTTTGCAGACGAGGGATGCACTGGTTGCCATTCTGGAAGACCTCCATGTGGAGGACCACTTTGCTCTCATCGTGTTTGATAACACAATTATCACCTGGAAGGACTCTCTTACCAAAGCAACAAAGGAAAACGTGGCTAAAGCCATTGCCTACGTCAGGAAGATAAGAGACAATGGAGGTATGAGGAAAACAAGTGATACAAACTTTAGTGCAATATGGTTTGTTCAATGCAAATTGATATAAATCCAGTTTGAATCTTTGAGTCTTTTCCATTTAAAGGAGACATATTTTATGCATATTCAGGTTCATAATTTTAATTTGGCTTATTAGTTGTAAATGTTTACATGCTCTAGTGTTCAGAACATGTATCACTTTCCTACTGTCCATTGCTGCAGTTCCTCTTTTCAGCCTCTGTCTGCAACACTTGATTTTATCTCCTGTCTCTTTAAGGCCCCCCTTCTTATAAAGACTTTGTTATAGTGCCTTAGGCGTGCATTTGAAAAGAATCTGGGGCATCATGGTTTATTATTATGCGACATCATGATGCTGGTGGGCCGGACTTCTGACGAGGTGTTTCAGGAGCTTCAGGAGCAGTGTCTTCTGCAGGGGGAGAGGAACTCCCTTTTCCGCAGACTTTGGGATTTTTTAATTCTGCCGACCTTTTACTCTCACAAAACCATATACAATACACTAGAGGAAACAAAACTGAAATACCTAAATATGTTTTAATCACTAAGAAAATAATTTGTACGGTGAAGAGAGGTGTCCGTAGAGTACAGGCCATGCATCATAGTTCAATAGAGAGTAATTCACAAATGTTCAGGGCCAAAGAGAGTTAGATGAGAAGATTGATACCACTCTGCTATCAATCGTTACAATGTGAGCCCAGGAGAAAGATGTGAAGTTGCCATGGAGACTCAGAACTTACATACCCAGTCAAAAAGCCAACATTCTCTGTTATATATAGGTTTTTGTGCACTGTAAACAAATCAGATATGTCTTGTTGCTTTATGAGTGCCAACTATCAACTGTGTATAAAGATGGGTGACACAAATGACACAAAAATATCCTGGATACGGGTGCTGCCATCTGGTGCTTTTGATATATTTGCAGCAAGATCTATTGTTAAGTCATTCTCAGCTGTCAATTTTACCCAGTTTTTAAAGTGCAAATAATTATCTTTAACCAAACTAAGTGGAAGAATTATCATTTAAACATACAGCAGTGTGATAAGAACAACCTAATATGACAGAAACTAACTTTTTATTTAAAGTATGTTTTGACATTTTAGTTTGGTCTATGTCCCAAGCACATAGAGAAGACAGGTTTTATGAGCGAAAATGAAGCCAGCCACCAGGGGGCAACCCAAATGATTTGCCTTCACTTTGGGGGAGCTGTCATGTTGTTCGAGTCTATAGTGCCATCAGGTGGATTTTTCTAGTCTTGGACAGAGCCAGAATATCTGTTTCCCCCCAGTCTTTATGCTGTTTTATGCTATTTTCATATTTACTGGACAGAAATGAGAGGGGCACTGATCTTCTCATCCAATCTCATTGCCAACAAATCAAAAAATGTACTTCCCAAAATGTTGACCTATTCATTTAAAGTTAAAATTGAGGAATTGCTACATAATTTTCTCTCTCAGCCACCAATATCAATGATGCCGTCCTGAGGGCTGTGAGCATGCTGGTGAAAGAAAGAGAAGAGAAGACACATCCAGAGAGGAGCGTGGATATGATTCTTTTACTAACTGATGGGATGCCAAACAGCGGTAAGTTATCTTGATTTGAAAGCTGATGATACTTTAGTCTGAAAGGTCAGAGGTCACTGTATCTACAACAAGCTTATATAATGCTAACAGTTTGTCATTTGATATCATGCATGTGTGTGTGCTTGTATACAGGTGAGTCTGTCCCCACAAAAATACAAAAGAATGTACATGCTGCTATCCAGGGGAAGATGTCTCTGTTCTGTCTTGGATTCGGAAATAATGTGGATTACTCCTTCCTGGATGTGATGAGCAGACAAAACAAGGGACTGGCCCGCAGAATATATGAAGCTTCAGATTCTGCTGTTCAACTCCAGGTAGAGTAAAACAATAAAAGACAGATTAACAAAAAAAGGGGATGTCTAAAACAAGTTTGATGATCTATCTGTATCTCTGTATCTCTATGCCTTTGTTCCAGGGTTTCTATGAGGAGGTTTCTAGCCCTCTGCTCTTGGAAGTGGACCTGCGTTATCCTGACAATGCAGTGGACTCTTTGACCAAAAACCATTTCAGCCAGTTGTTTAACGGCTCAGAGATCGTGGTGTCCGGTCGGCTGAGCGACAATGACATGGATAATTTCCTGGTGGAAGTGCTTGGCCAGGGGGTATGAAGTTAATTCAAGATTCATAGATATTTATTGTCAAATAATAATCTTGTTCTAACGGACACTGAATATTGAAAACTCGGAGTGACATTGTGAATTTTTGGTATATTGATCAAATCATGACAATCTTCATATTGTACTCTCAATTTTTTAAGGATGGTTGACATGAATAATCTTAACAACAGGTTTGCTTTCCTAAAATTTTCTTCAAATTTCATCACCTGGCTAAAATATGAATTTGTCTGCTACTGCTAAGAACAACCTTTTAAGCATGCTGACATTAGTATTTAAGTCTTGAAGAGTGGCTGGTTTGACTGTAGTCATACTTTTGCTCCCCTCTCTTGTCATCTGTTTTTGAAAAATCTCTTGTTTGTACAGTCTGATAAAGACTTCCAAGTTAAGGGAAATGCCAGTGTGGGAAACTGGGAGGTGACCTACCCAGAGCAGGAGTACATCTTTGGGGATTTTGCTGAGCGTTTGTGGGCCTACCTCACCATCCAGCAGTTACTGGAGAACAGGTTGGTTCATGTTCAGCTTTATATTGCACCTGCATTGACAAGATTGAGGAGAACAGATTACTCAGAGATGAGTTCACATGTCATTATTCAACATCCAACTGATCCCATCTTTCTTTTCTGTCTCCCAGTGACGTTGGTACTCAGCAAGATAAAGATACTTTAACAGCTAAGGTCGTGAACATGTCCCTGCAGTACAGCTTTGTCACCCCTCTCACCTCCATGGTGGTAACCAAGCCTGAAACCGAGGACGGACCAGACAGCCCTCTCATTGCTGACAAGCTGACTGAGAGTAAGGGACATGTGATCAGTATTAATTATTATCAGTTCTTTTTCTTTTATTTGCAGGAATAGAAATAAATTGATATAGTACAGGTAGGCTGGGGCAGTACGGTGGTTTGGTGGTTTGCACAGTTGCCTCACAGAAGGTCCCTGGTTTGAATTCCAGTTTTGCCAGGGTCTCTGTGTGGAGTTTGCATTTTCTGCACGGGTTTCTCTAGGTACTCTGGCTTCCTCCCACGGTCCAAAGACAAGCAGATTGGGGCCAGGTTAATATTAGACTGTGAGTGAGAAGCTGAGTGTCAATGGTGGTTTTTCTCTGTGTGTTGGCCCTGTGATATGCTAGCAAACTGTTCAGGTTGTACCCCACTGCTAGCTCAATGTTAGCTGGGATTGGCCCCAGCCCCCTCCCTTAACCCTCAAAGGATAAGAGGTATATATAATGGATGGATGGACAAGTTGGCTATCTGCTTAACTGACTAGTAAACCAGAATATTCATTCTTTGGCAATTTACATCACATTAGATTATTAGAAACCTGTTAAATCAGCATGTGTAAGTAAAATGTGGCAATGGCTTCCAACTAACTTTGTGTTTTTAACTGTTTTACAGGCCAGCGACAGGAAGCAGAGAGACGCCACGGTGCATCTCACCACAGTACATCTCGTCAAGGAGCATCTCCCCTAAATGCATTAATCCAAACTGCACCTCGCCAGAGTTCATTTCGCCAGAGTTCATCTCGCCACAGTTCATCTCGCAAAAGTGCAATTCGCCATGGTAAAATCTCTTTTAATTTAATTATACGACACAGCTTATTGACCTCCCTTTGGTAGAACAACTTTGATGATGTGATGTGTGCTTTTATTATTTTTGATAACAGGTTCCTTAGGCTCAAGTCGTGCTGACAGTTCTCGTGCTTATTCAGATGGTAAGCTTCTAACAAATACTTGACTCATCAAAAACAGAAATAATCAATGTTTATTTTTAATTAAAATTAAATCATTGCATTGGCCAGCCGTACCAAACACAATGTGACAGTGACACCTGTAATATTTAAATTATTCCGTTTTATTCATTATCTATCACATACTACATGTATTAAAAGTCAGGGGAAGATCCACAGTGTTCAGACAAATACTGTTACTATCATATTCAAGTCTGACGATTGTATGACATGATTCTTTGATGATGCTTGTGCAGTGGACGGAGATCCTCATTTCATGATAGAGCTGCCAGAGAGAAATGACGCTCTATGCTTCAACATCAACAACAAACCAGGAACCATTTTCACTCTGGTCAAAGAACCAAAATCAGGTTAGTCGCCCTTACTCATTTACCATGTGCTGCAAAAAGAAACAAAACATAAGAAGCAATTCCATGAAAGATTTTCATTATGCTTCAGGGTTTTTGGTGAATGGCCAAATTATTGGCAAGAAGAATGTTGTTCCAAATGGTAACACCAACACCTACTTTGGGCGTTTTGGTATCAGCCACCGGAAGCTGGGAGTGAGTCTGGAGGTGAGCACTCAGGACATCTCCATCTTCCACAATGGCAAACATGTCAAGCTGCTGTGGTCTGATAGAGCCTCTATCAAAGAAAACAAGTGAGTAGATATTATCTAAACCTCATGCACTGCATGCACGTTTAAGATGAGAAGTTTTACAATGATTTAAACAGATATTTGCTATTTTGTCCACAGGTTAAAATGGTTTTATTTGTTGTGTTTATTATCCACTTAATTAGCTCACGTTCATCATTATCCCAGAAAGAAGCAAAATATTAGTATGTGATCTTAAATTATGTTTAATTTTATAAGTCAAGATGGTGAAAATCCCTTGTAAGTTTGAAGGTCTTCTGCACTAGTTTGATGATAAGTTGCCAACCACCAGCAGATGTCAGGGATCACCACTAAATGTTAGCAACCACTAGCAGATGCTAGGGACGAATAATCAGTTGTGGACTACAAGGTGCCACAAGGTGTTTCAGCCTTTTTTGGTATCAGTACTCCTCCAGCTCTGAGCCAAGCTTTGAGTATCATTTTAACAGTGGATAGGATCAAACTCATATTCTCTGTATGTCTTCCAGCATGGACCTCAAGTTAACAAAGAACTGCAGCCTGACCGTCACGCTAAGGCACTTCATTAAATTTACTGTCATCAAACACACAAAGAAATGGAAGAGACGCCACGATCAGCAGGACTACCTGGGCTTCTACACACTGGACAGCCACCACATGTCTGCTTCAGTTAATGGCCTGCTAGGTCAGCAACAGCTATTTGATGTTTTCATGCTTTTATTCTTAACTTTAAATAAATCAAAAGATATTAAATACTTTTTTTGGTCCAGGTCAGTTCTACCATGGGGTTGAGTTTGAGGTGACAGACCAGCGTCCAGGTGACCTCCAGGAGAAACTAGATGCCACCATGTATGTGAAGGGACGAGTAGTCAATGTGACAAGGTGAAAATACACACACACATTCACACACCTATACATACACTTACATTGATGTCCTGGAGACTTATTCTAACCTTGACCATCAGGACTCTTTGCCCAACCCTAACCTTAGCTTAAATCTAACCTTAACCTTGATCTAAACCTAACCTAACCTAACCTAGACCTAAACCTAAACCTAACCTAACCTAACTTTTACCTTAACCTTAAAGCATGTCTTGACCTTAAAATTAAATGATTTATATATGGAGACTTTTGGTCCCCATAAGAAAAATAAGTCTCTATAATGTGACTGTGTAAACAGCTTTGGGTCTCAACAACATGAGTAATACCTGGACCACACACACACACACACACACACACACACACACACACACACACACACACACA